TTGTTCTATTTTCATTTTCTAAGTCTTTCTCGATTACATTTTCTTTGTCTTGGTGTATGGTCCCTCAATTATTCTTTTTTTTTTTTTTTAACTTTAGAAATTTTTTAAAATATAATAAGTAGTATTTTGATATAAAATCTAAAATATTTTGTCTAAATATTTTTTCCTAAAAAATAATCACCAAATCATTTAGGGTTAAATAGACCCTCAGTTATTCACCAAAAAAAAAACAAAAAAGACCCTCAATTATTGATATAATAAGAGAATTGACAAGACTGGTGCCGTAATTGACAGTCCCTCAATTATAATAATATAAAACAAATTTTTTTTTTGGTGAAAAGAGGAAGTAGTATTAAACAGAAGAGCTAAAGTGCAAATCTGGGATATTCAGTCCCAGACATATCAGTAGCCAAATGTACATCCAGGCCCTCAGGGCAATCCTCATAAATAGCAAAATTAGCAGACAGAGAGTGGCCTAATTTCGACAAAAAGTCTGCACACATATTGGATTCCCTGAAGATGTGCTTGATGTCACCATATGGGATCCTACTGAGCAGCTCCCTACAGTCCAAAATAAGAGCAGTAAAAGGGTGGTGATTACAGCAATTCTTGGAAAGGAGATTAAAGGCAGTAAGTGAATCAGTTTCAATGCATAATCGATTAAATCCTTTGTCAACAGTTAATTGAAGGCCGTCCCGTAGGGCCTAAAGCTCAGCAGCCAAACAAGAAGTGTGACCGATGTTTCTTGCATAGCCAAGCATCCACTTTCGCTCATGATCCCTAAATAAGCTTCTAGAAGCAGCCATACCAGAATTGCTAATGAAGGAGCCATCGGTATTAAGTTTAATGAATCCTGAAGGGGGCTTAGTCCATTTGACAGCAATGGACAATGCCTGACGAGTATACTGAGGTGGGGAACAACAAACCCAAAATTCTGCTGCTTTGTTCTTGACAATGGAAATACTGCTTGAAGGATTAAAAATATCAGGTCTGTACAACTTGCAATTCCTTTGAATCCAAATTGTCCAAATTGTAAAAGAGAAGAGGGTACCCCATGGTATAGATAAGAAAGTGCTACTGTCCTTCCTACCACAGTTAAACCGCAACCAATCAACCAGTGGGGAATATAACATAATATTTTTAATAATTACAAATACAAAAAAATATACCACAACATTTTCAAACTAAACTAAAGAGAAGACTTGTCCTATTTTCATTTTCTAAATCTTTCTCGATTACATTTTTTTTATTTTGGTATATGGTCCCTCAATTATTCTTTTCTTTTTTAACTTTAGAAATTTTAAAAAATGGAATAAGTAGCATTTGAATATAAAATCTAGGATTTTTTTTGTCTAAATTCTTTTTTTTTTTAAATAATCATTAAATTATTTAATATTAAATAATTTCTCAATTGTTTTTTTTTTTTTTTTTTTTCTTTTTCTCAATTGTTGATATGATAAGAGAATTGATAAGATTGGTATCCCAATTGACAGTCCTTTAAGTGGCAATCTTTTCTGGACCCCTCGTTTTGGAGTAGTGCCTCAACATCCCTATTGATGATTCAAAATCACCCTATTTTTAAAATTAAAAATATGAATATTAACAAATATATATTAAGAGAAAAAGCAACGAAAGAAATTGCTATCACATGTCATGTTTATAAATCTTCTTTAATGTGTTATGTGTGGATATTTTTTTTTATTTGATAAATTTATCTTTTTGCTTT